CTGCCCTGCTTCAGGGTTGGCTTTCAATTTCATATTGAAATAAAGCTGTGCAGCTTGAAGTTCTTGCTCCCCTCCTTTGGAAGCATAGGCAGCAGCATCCTCAGCTCTTTAACTGTTTCAGACTGGGAGGGGAAGTGGCAAGGCAGCTCTCTGTGGCCCTGTGGGAGAAATAGGGGGTTGCTTCCACCATCAAAAGGACAAATTTGGGGCAGCAGCTGTTACAGAGTCCCCTGAAGCCCGTAAAGTGCAGCTTGCTGGTTGATGCAACAGCCAGTGCTTCATGTTCTATGCTGCAGCGTAATTCATCAAGAGAGGGGGAAGGCAAGACTTGGGAGAGGGCTGCAACCATAAAGATAGAAGGAAACATTTAAAGTGACTGTGTCAAAAAATATGAAGAGTAAGCTTGTACCAGTTGACACATTAAACCCAATTTAATACCATGGCCTGCATGGAAAGGGAACAATAATCAGCTTCATCTGCTGAGCAAGCCTGGCACTTAGATCCTCCCAAAGACCCCCAGAAAAGGCTCGACATTACATTGCCCGCCCCATGCATAACAGCCGGCCCCTACTCCATGCCACACAATGGAAAACGCTTCCAACTCAGGATTTTCCACGTTGGTTTAATACGAAGCACGTACTGCTGCCCACACGAAAGACTGCTAGGCACTGGCATGATACAAACCCACAAAGCTGCTTCTAGCAGCCCGAAGGTGGGGGGAAGGCCAGCTCCCCGCTCCCAGGCCAGTCTGGATGGATCACGGAACAGGCATCAGCAACAGCCGTCTCTTCATGCAACCAGCAACCCGCAGTGCAAATTGGAAGTGGGGAGGCGCTGAGCCCTCCCCCCCAACGCCACACCTTACACCAAAGTTGGAGCACAGCAGGAACCACACACACGCACAGAGTGATTACTATAGTCATGATCCAGCAAGTAGCTCAACTCTCTGCCCCGCTGCAGCCCCACGGGCTCTGGGATCCTGTCCCCAAAAGGCTCCTGAGCCAGCACTAAGGAGGGAGCAGAGTGTTGACGGGGGAGCAGGAGGGAGGCCAAGGCGAGGCCTGCGTGGCTCGGGCAGAGAAGAGACGGCACGTGAGAGCTCGTGAGGGTAAGGCGGTAACTCTCCACAGTGAACAGCAGGCAGAAGCCGCCTGCTTTGCTCCTGGCCGCCAGGGAGGTGGTGATGTTCAGTCTCCAAGAGGGTGGCAAGGCAGCCGAGCGCAACAGCCCTGCTTCAGACAGGCAACGTCGGTGAGGTGGCCAGTTCCTCTGCGTCCCCTTCGGAGCACTCCTCATGCTGGCTGCAGGGAGCCCCTTTGCCAAGCAAGCGGGCGGCCTCCTCGCTGTCCTCGCCTGCGGTCTCCTCCTCATCTTGGCCTCGCCCCACCTCGATCCCAGAGTCCCCAGTCAGGCGCCGGTGCCGCAGGTGGCTGCTTTCCTCCCCGGCATCGGGCCCCTCCTCGCCATCGGAGAGGCGCCGTGGGTCGCTCTCAAAAAGCTCCACATTGGAGGAGAAGAGGGTGTGCTTGTGGGAGGCCGGCAGCGGGGTGGCTGGCGAGGCTGCCAGCTCCCAGCTGCCCCCCGCATGGCCGCTGCAGCCCCCATCCCCCTCGGCCTCCCCTTCACTGGGGCTGCTGGCCTCGGTGGCCGACAGGGAGGTGCTGCTGGGGGAGGTCAGGCAGCTGGATTCGCAGGAGCAGCTGGTGGAGTTTTCGGAGCTGCCCGTCAGGGTCAACGTGCTGGAGCCAAGGCGGCCGACGGCGCTCCCGAGGACAGCGCTATAGGGGGGCGGCGGAGTGGCAGGGCGCTGGGCCACCTCTTCGTAGGCCGGCAGCTTGAAGGAGGCCAAGATCCCTGCAGGGGAGGAAAGGCGGCAGACCTCAGGGCGGCGAGGCCGGGGGAGCGCGTGCCCCCCCCCCCCCCCCCCC